TTTTCCACTAAGGAAATAATGTATGACAGGTTGTCTGCAACGCCGCAAACCAGCATACGCATTTCTGCATTTTCATCATTGTTTTAACGGTCATATATTGAGCCATTCTCTGGCCATTACCTACCGTATAAATTGTTTCATCATGTTGTCATGAACGATGATCTATTAGGCATTGGTGATCAGCCGCATTGTCTCAATATGGAGATGTTGCATGTGTGAGGAATTTGCGATTTGACTATTGATTCTTATGTAAAAGTTCGCGAGAAACTCGATGGTGCCACTTTTCCCTGAAATTAACTCCCAAGCTGAAAAAGCTCTCTAGTTGAGGCCAAAATAGAGAGGATATCCCACGCTATCCTGAGAGTTCATCTCTACATCAAAACAAACTCTCCATGCAAAGATAGGGAGTAAATGCATTGCCAGGGCTGCCACTTTATTTGGGGACTCTAAAACTGAAAACACGGCAACCCTGCTAATGTATTTGCTCCCTATCTTTTTATGAAGAGTTTGTTTTGATGTAGAGGTGGACTCTCAGGGTAGCGTGGGATATCCCCTCCATTTTGGTCTTAACTTGAGAGCTTTTCTTGAACTTGCGAGTTGATTTCAGAGAAAACCAGTGGCACCATCTTGTTTCTCGCGAACTTTTACATAAGAATCAATAGTCAAATCGAAAAATTCCTCACACATGCAATATCTCCATTCGGACTCGATCTCTTCTTTAAAAAAAAAAAAAAACAGTTTTGAAGTACTTACCATGTTAATTATTTATCCTTCAAAATACCTAGTCAAAGATTTTAAACTTCAAGGCACGCCCAGGAATTTAAAATCGCGACTGATTTGAAACCGCGATTCAGGGCCTCCATGTGTTGAGGACGTGATCCAAACTGCAATCTAGCTACCGACTGTAGAGCTGCAATATTTGCAAACATTTCTCTGCTTTTTCAACCAACCTTTAATTTGAATAAATTATTCTAGGAAACGTTCCCAACCACCGAGCGGTACCAACTCAGCGTGGTTCTGTTAGTTTTTCACAAAGCAAGTGCCGATCATGTTTCGCTCCCGTTCACTGGTTCATTGAACATGTCAGCCATGTAGGAAACCGTTAATTGAGTGAGCAATCGATACTTTTTAATCTGATGTCGAAATTGACGGACACAAACGACAGATGAAAACTTCCTGACTCTAGATCGAGCTACAATTTTTTTATCGTTATTTTTTTAACTTTTTATTTTATTTTTATCATCCATCCCACAGTTTTATCAGAAATTTCTCTTGTGAAGAGAGGAAGGGACATGAGGGGGGGGGGTGAAAATAGCACATTTCGTGTCCAAGTAAGGGCCTGTGGAAGTTTCAAAGTGCCTGAGTCGAGGTTGGTTTAACAAGTCTATTTTCTAAGGCTAAACTGCAGGAACAATTGCACCAATATTTCTGCACATACTTGTATATGAAACTACATTATTTGTTATGGACGGATTCAACTAGAATCATCCTGCTACTAAATTTTTCGCTGCCTGATTTCCTCTCTTATTAATACTTTTTTACAGGGAAGAAACTAAGCGTCATAACATCTTGAACTTGTCTGTAAATCTTCCTTAGATCATAAAGAATGCACTTATAAATTTCATAGCAGAGTGTCATTTACTGTCCTTTGTTAAAAATAAAAACTCGAGAAAAAATCCGGCAACGTCTGATGCATTTTGGCTGATTAGTCTTGTCTAAATTGGACGTATTTCTGGCAAACGGAACCATTTGCATTATGACGTGAGCCCTGTTACGCATATAGTTTTATGAGTCTCAGGGCTCATGTCTTAACGCACATAGTTCCGTTTACCAGAAATACGTCCCATTTCACCGGGAAAAATTGGCAATTTTCCTTCATTTACTGAGTAACTCATGGTGAAATGTTCCCAGGGGCACATACCCCCTAAGGTTTTAAACGCTCAATTTCCGTCATCCATCCCTCAATTATTTATTAATGGTCTGAGTCCAGTGAAAAACTTCGACATGAGACCGTTGCCAAATCCATCGTTTAATTCAATTCTTAAAGGGAAAACGACAGCATTATTTTTGAAGGGTCTACTTTCACGCTAAGATTATCCAAGTGCAGTGCTATATGTGCCAGAAAAACCTGACCAGTGGCGTAGCGTGCTTTGCGATCGATCGATTGATATGCCATTTAAGCCTATGGAAAAAATCGATAAACAGAAGTTCGCGGCGAACACCTTAATAATCGATTTTTACTATAGGTTTAAATGGCATAACAATCGATACATCGCAATTCACGCCACGCCACCGAACCTGACTCCCAGGAGGACGGGGAGGGCGTTCTCGTGCTCGTGCTTCTAATCTTCCTCAGTAATGTGTACGCAACCGTGTTCTCCTAGGTCAAACATTTGGGAGCTGCTTCAAGCGGTATGAGTGTATTGCCGCTCATGAGAGTCCACTTTTGCCTACCTTATGAATTGTAGGCGAATTCGTTTGCTTCAAGAGCTCATTAAACGCCGTGATTTTTGCACATCGTCGTAATTTCCCCCCTCATTTTTCATGGAGTTATATGAACAAAATTCTTCTCTACAAAGTTAGCGTATGGTAGTGCTTGTAATGAACTTTTCAGAAAATATTACGGTTCGGTACTTCCCGCCGAAGCGCTTATGGTTGACCGTGCGGGGTAATTCAAACAGTAAAGTATGTACATATGATAACAGTTAAATCGATATTTGGTCCTAATCTTAAACGTGATTTTGAGTAAGTTGCCGACTACATTTTGCTCTGAAAAGAGCAAACAAAGTTCCTTTTATTATTTTTATGATCAATGAAATCAGTAAGATGATTTGAGCAAATGAAATTTCTTAATCCAACTAACTTGCTTCCCTAAATGTCTGAATTTCAAAAAAAAAAAAAAAAAAAAAAAANAAAAAAAAAAAAAAAAAAAAAAAAAAAAAAAAAAAAAAAAAAAAAAAAAAAAAAAAAAATCCGGAATTGGAAAAATTTACAGCGTAACAAATTCTACATTGCTAAAACTATCATAATTGGATTGAGTTAAGCAGAAAGGAATCAACCCACATTATGGAAAAAATTGAGTTATGAGTGGTTTTGAACTCAACCACTGCTCTACTCTTTATCGCCAAAAATTCAAAGTTTTTGTTGGAGCAAATTTTGCAGAAATTGAACTTGAAGTTTATCTTTTACATTGAGTCTTATGCAGGAACTAAACTTTAAACCTCTTTTTCTCGGTTCGATCCCGATGTGGCTTTGGTTCCTTTCTGTTTGACTCCGTCCAATTGAACATTGCCATTTCTTTTGCCGATATTCATGATTTTCGCGGCCATCGATAGAAGATATTCTCTGGACGAGCCCGTTTTGTTTCGATTAAATCACGGGGACCCACAAAGCGCCGTCTGGGGGTAGAGTGCCTGTATAGCGAGAGTATAGACAGATGTGAAACTCCGAAAATCCATCAGGCCTTCAGTGCCTTCACCGATGTCTCTGCGAATAAAGTTAGGGCCCAGAAATGCAGCCAACCTATGAATTTCAATTATCCAGAGCGCTTGACGAATACAATTGTTACGAACCATCGTTTATAAAGCACGTATTTGACTTAGTTTTTGCATGAATTTACTCATTTTTGCGGAAGAACGCTCATTTATGTACATTCTTAGCCATCTTGGTTAGAATTGGAATCTGCAGACCGGCAGTGAAATTTTGTGCGTTAGAAGTTGGTTAGAAGGGTGGCTGCACTATTGGGCTTTAAGCCCTCCATGAAGGGATCTGTCCATACTCTTGCTATATAGGTACTCTAATCGTAACTTCCGAGGAGAGGAAGCTGGATTCGTCGCCGCTCGGCAACATCTTGAATCTCGTGGCACTTGAGGAAAAAGAGGGGGGTGGGAGGGGATGGGGTCGCGAGGGAGCGCGGTGCTGCTCTCCGCCTCACAGGTCAAAAGCTCGAAGTTCCGTGTATCCGGCAAGCAGGCGCTTGAGCAGGTCTCTCCACATTCCGCCGTCTTCGCGGTCCTTTCAGTCGACCGACTTCAATTTTTTTAAGCCGCACAACTCCCCGGCCCCTCACCCCCCTCCCCAATTCCCCTCCGCTGTGACCACCCCCTCCTCCCAGACTCATTTATTCGCGCCTTGTTTGAACTACGGCCAGTTTTATTTACCCACGGTCTTCATTCGGGACTCGATTCCTTAAACGAGGACCTGGTCAAGTCGTGATTAACGGGCTTCAAGAGGCGGATTATGGTCTCTGTCCTGCCTCTCTTCTGCCTTCAGAGGAAAAGATACTCCCCCAAGTCAACATTTCCTCGTATTTGAGAAACGTAAAATCGCGGAAATATCTAAATGGGTCAATAATGACTAAGCGTAAAAATAGGGTGAAGTCTGTGTATTTCATGCTTAAAAATATGAGATATTTTAAGAAGGATTTTGAGATTTGGGCCTCGATACAGATGCTGTTTTTACATGGAGGGATGAGGACGAAAAAAAAAAGAGAGGGGATGGGAGGGAACATGAAGGAAGGGGAGCTTTTTTATTAATTTGTCAATTAATTGAAGAAGAACTTTTTTATAAAGTTCTGTTATTTTGGCCTCGAGAAGAGATGCCATGTCTAGATGGGAGGGAAGAAAAGGGGAAAAAGATGGGTGGTGGGAAGGAACGGAAAGTAAGGGGAGTATCATAAAATCAGGGTGTCTACAAGTCCGGAAGTCCGGTCCGGAAGTACTGAAAAAGTGTGGAAATTCTGCAAGAAGGTCCGGAATTGTTTTATTTGTTGTGATTTTTGTCGCAATTTGAGCGAGAAATCCAAATTTTTCGAATTTTGTCAATTGAAGGTACTGCAAAAGTACTGAATTTTTACTGTTCAGGAGGTACTTAAAATCTTGGGAATGTGCTGAAAAAGTACTGTAAAAGTACTGCTTTTTGTCCAGCCTGTTCTAGTAGACACCCTGAAAAAGAACAATAAGAAGAACTTTGTGGTTTAATTTTTTTTCTCATTGTTTCAGCGCATATCTTGGAGGTGATGGGAGTTGTCGTGGGAGTGATCTGTTCGGTATTGACGATTTCCGCGTTCATCATCTACCGAAACTGGCGCTACGAGCAGGAGTTGGACAGCCTCCTGTGGAAGATCGACTTCAAAGACGTCGACATGAACATCGAGCAAGATGCCTCGAACCGAACACACCGGGTAAGCATCCTAAAAGCAAGCATACGGGGCAGAGGCGGATTCAGCAATTTGGCAATGGTATTATATTTCAATGGTTTCCTCAATGGTATTTTACATTACTAGGTAAAAAGAGGGCCGAAAATTTCACCCTGTGCGGTGGTCCATTCTTAGGGTTACAGTATCTCCCCGTAATTCATTGGCGGATCCGGCAATTTGGCAACATCGGATCTCCTCCATTTAAACCTTGAACACTCGATTCTTGTCGGAGCACCTGGCTCCTCCAAGAATCGATATATTTCCATAGGTTTAAATAGGGGAACAACAATGTCACACCAATTTGCCGGATCCGCCAATGAATTACGGGGAGATACTGTAACCCTAAGAATGGACCACCGCACAGGGTGAAATTTTCGGCCCTCTTTTTACCTAGTAATGTAAAATACCATTGAGGAGTCGTATTTTGTTCGGAGGCAACACTCGCAACATGTTGGGAAAACAAGCAACAATCGCATTTTGTTCGAAGTTGTTTTGTGTTGTGGGGGCGGGGCTTATTTTCGTGCGCAAAACTTGGGAACCCCTACAGCAATATTGCGGTACAACAACTGCAACTTGCTCAGAGGCAAGTCGTATTTATGTTGTTGCCTAAGACAACGCTGTTTTCTAACCTAATATTGGGATTCGCTTTCTCATTGCCCTGGTAAAAATTTGCGATAAGAGCTACGTTTCAAAACACCATAAGAATTCTTATAGCCGGCTAAAAAAGGCTACAGAAAATCATATAGCTGGCTGTAGAATGCGGTGAAAATCATACGGCCGGGCTATACGAAGCGATAAAAAATTATGCAGCCAGGCTATAGTTCCTATCGCCGGGCTTTACACTTTATCGCCTGGCTGTTGCTTTTTCGCCATCGATTATAATAGGCTATACGAAATTGTGTAGAAATTCGTGTGCTTTGGAAATCATTAAGTTTGATACGGAACCACCTTTTATATTTACAAAACACACATTATATTTTCCTCTAATGCATATTTTTTTTCATCAATTAAAATGAGAACAATCCATACAGGATGTGCAAAAATTTCAAAATTATGAATTGAATAACGCTGACTCCGCCAGATTAAATATTAGAGCCTAACACAAAGCGGAGCGGTGACGCACTGGCGCCTACAAACCTAAAAAGGATACTTCACGCATTGCGCAACGCGTGAAGTATCCCTGTTAGGTTTGTAGGCGCCAAAGCGCGTTTAACGCTAGCTGCCCGCCTGCCGCGCCGCAGCGTGCCACGGCGCTTGAAGCAACTATTTCACACCTGAGGTATTGGACAGTATCATACGAAACTGAAGGCTATAAAAAGCTATAAGAAATTGTGTAGCCAGCTATAGAAGCTATTGGAAATCTTACAGCCGGCTGTAGGTCTATGGTATTTTGGAACACAGATTCTACTGCCAATTTTTACCAGGGTGGTTGTTCAGAATCACACAAAAGAAGCAAGAAAAAAAAACAGAAAGAATTTGTTGTTTCGAACAAAATGGGTGCTCCTCAATGACAGATCTGTGCGAAAAGAGTTTAGTAAACACTTTGATTGCCGGGGATTTTAGAGGCGAAATCAACATTTCCTCTTGGCAAAATACCAGAAATTCTCACGGGTAGACTTTCTCAAGTACCGTAAAAAGTTAAGTACTCTTGTAGAAAGAGCACGGACAAGCCGTTAACTTTGAGGTTCATCAAAGCAACAGAAGAAGAAAAGGAAGAACTTTGAGGTTAGGTCATGGGGCTTTTAGGGCCCAAGAGAGCAGCCTACTTATGAATTCAAACTATCCAAAAAAATTCACTATTACAATTGCTACGACCCATCGTTTGTAAGTCACGTATTTGACTTAGTTTTTGCAAAAATTCACTCATTTTTGCGGAGGACCGCTCATGTGTGGATATTCTTGGTTATCCTGGTTTGATATCGGAATCTAAAGATTGACAGTGTCGTTTTTTGTGGAAGAACGTTGACTGTCCTTTTGACCCCTGAGAGCTCCATTTTTCCATATGCCACCACCTTCCGGCCAAAGTATCACAAGCGCCATGCGAATTTCCAAAATTTCCGCCGCCATTTTATTTTTTTACAGAGAAATTGTTGGTTGAATCTTTTTGAAAATTTCACTGAATTTAATCGGCAGCTTAAAGAAAATTCAGTGACATTTTCGGACAGCTTTGTTGAAAAATTTCTTAAAAAAAAAAAAAAAAAAAAAAAAAAAAAAAAAAGTCGGCGGAACGTCGCGGAATGGCGCCCAACATAGCGCTTGTGATACCCTGGCCAGAAGTTGACGATGTCCATACTCTCCTTATATAGGTACTCTAGTAAAGGGACCAGTGTAAATGTCAGCTTGAACCTAGGCAACAGTGTAACCTCATGCGATTTAAGGAAGTTGTGAACATCTTTCTTTCACGTAACGTTATCAGTTATTCTCGGCAGGTCAAGTGATTATACGATTCCGATAGGCCCCTTTAAATTGTAGCTTTCCGGAAGGGCGCTCATGCTCGTGCACGCACCCTAATTTTAAACGACTAATCGATACGTTGGATGGGTCTCACGGGTACTGGATGGGCCCCACTGGATCCTCCTTTCTTAGCATCGGACATCCTGTGCCTCACTTCAAATGAAGGGACAGCTTGGGATTTAATTAAATCTACGAATTGTTCCGTCTCTACTCGACCACAGGACCCACCCCCGCCCCCTAAGCGTATCTGTGATTGATCCCTCTAACGGCTTTGAGCTTTTGTCGAGGTTGCCGTTCGATTAAAGTTCTTAAAAGGGAGTCCGATTATTCAGGACTCCTCGGAGGATCACTACCGCACAACGCCTTCGAAATAGCGAGTTATACCATTTCAAAACACGCCAGCGAGGAGACGCACAGATGGCTGTTGCAAACTTTCACGACAGCTGTCGCAGCTGTCATTCGCTTGGTTTAAACATGAGTAAGCAACATTGATTTACATCGCAGATAGTGGCTAAAGCAAGATTTGGGTTTGTTCCGGTTGTTTCTCGAATTCAAATATTTCCCGGATTTCACGACTCAAACAGACAGTTGATTGCCGATCTTCCTGGAACCGAAATCATTTACCAATTAAAATGTACCCCAAAAGGGTAATTTTTTTCCTACCGTTTTTCTCCCCATTCAAAGTGGGAAAATGGATGACATCGGATGACCGGGTCCCCGCGTGTATCGAAGACAATCGATTATATATAGAAAACAAGACCCGGCGTCACACAGGAGTCTCGAAATTCGGGACCTGGAAAATACTTAAAAGTGGCGCCAGCTGTACCACTTACATTACGATTTTATGGAACTCTATCGTACTCTATAGAAAATTGCATGTAGAGGTTCTAATGCCGATAAATACCATTGATATGCTTCGATTGTATTTCAGGGTACCAGTGCGAGCATAGGGACTAACGCGCATCCGTTGATCCGGACCAGCCAGGTCTCGTTGAGCTCGAATCCAGATGCGGATTTCAGGTTCTCCACAATCCACACCACCATAGGCATTTACAAGGGCCAGGTCTACGCCGTCAAGAGGATCGCAAAGAAGTCAATCGATATCACCCGTGTCATGAAAAAAGAGCTCAAAACGGTGAGTCATATATATTACTTTCACAGCTTTTGAATGTGACCGTCTACAGCAAGAGGCACCTTGGTTGGAAACGAGAGGGGCTTGGAGTACAAGGCGCGTAAGTGCAGTTTTTGAAAAACAAAATTGAGGTATTCATGGTTTCAAGTAAAATTAGTCTGAATGCATACCTTGTGAAAAATTCGCGCCCGAATCCCAATTTTTAGCTTCAAAAATTAGGTTTGAACTTTCGGTCTGCCATAAGGATCCACTTTCGAAACTTGTGACTCGTATTTCTCGAAATAGCAAAATCTGCACTTATGCGCCTTACCCTCCAAGCCCCTCAGTTCAAACAAGTTATTTATGATCAGTACAACACAAGGCAGTGTTCTAGAGGCATCTCCAGAGAAAAAAAGTCCAAAAAACCGAAATAAAAGAAACGACCGTTTTGAATCTTGCAGTATCAAGATCTACTTCCGATGAAAATCTACTTGAAATTATTACTCGGGTCAAGAAATTGCCTGACTAAAATGCGACACCATATCCTCTCCTGACCTAAAAATGGAAACATCCTACAGAAACTTATATTTTAAGGCACACACAGGTCGTCCGGCCGGTCTAAGGATAAAGACATTAGAAATATATAAACGTGAAAGGATGTGTCCCATTAAGGAGAGTATTTTGGCCCTAACTTTGGTCGAAAATTGAAACAGCTTAGAATAATGCCATGTATGGTCAAATCGACTCTTAATCATCTACCCTGTAAGAACTTGTCCTTATCTGAGGTGGTTTTGAAAGGTTCTTCTTTAAATGTGTTAATCTTTAGTACACACATAACAACATATCTAAAGGAGAAAGTGGTAGTCGCTTGTGCTCATACATAAACAATCTAATTTAGGACCGAAAATGAGCAATTATTCAAGAAAACTGCAAAACTTCACTACTTTGCGCTGGTAAATCAGGCAAAATCCATTTAAAACCACCTCAAATGAAGACAAGTACTCACAGGGTAGATGATTAAGAGTCGATTTGACCATACATGACATTATTCTAAGCTGTTTCAATTTTCGACCAAAGCTAGGGCCAAAATACTCTCCTTAATGGGACACATCCTTTTCGCATAACAATCATCTTTGGCTTCAGTTGTAATCTGTGATCGTTTTTTTTTTAGCGAAACAAGATTCTATCTTTAACGATGTGTTTTCATGTAAATTTTAGATTTTTACCGCGTCTGCATTTTTCAAGAGACCGTACACAAATCTACTTTTTCGCGGAAAACCCCGGATTACCGGCCGTAGATAACATTTTAGAAATATTATTTTTGACGTTTCCGAGTAGAACTCTACGTGACATAGAATAGGCTACGTGGAATCATAGCGTCAATGCTTGCATTCTTTGGTTAATTTCGCGGAACGTAATGGAAAATCATTCCGGTGCAAAAACGCACGCGCCTCGACTCTTTTGCTGAATTCCGAGAGAGGAATACTGCCGTGGTAAGGAAAAACGCCGTATTAACCTTCAGGCGTTGCCAAATTTCCTTCGGTAAATCACCAATTTGCGGAAAAATTTGTGAAGATTTTTCCTCCAATTTTTCCGATAATTTTGTTCTCAGTTTCACCTGCAGGTCCTGAAAATTTCAAGAAGAAATATTCATAACTTTCTTCAAAAATAACTATTTTCCGAGAGGAAATTTGGCAACTCTCGAATGTTCATACGGCGTTCCTCAGCACGGCAGAATAGTGAGAGGCTCTCCGGTTGTAATTTATTTCCCTCCTTCGTGTGCAGTTAGAGCGCTGATCTGTGTGAAGCGAGTTAACTTTAGTGCTCGGTTTGAAAAATTCGATCACAAAGACATGAGCTCACACATGAATGCCTATCCTCGGAAATGAAGGGGCGAACTCAAAGGAACCCCAATTTCACCATCCGCCTCGTCCGATGCCCGTGTGGTGAGGTTTTGAATGGCACTCATTATATTATTTCTGGAGGCGTCTGTTCGGAGCCCAGAAGTGGAATAGAGGTTCGCACACAAAATGTCGCAACTTTGAGATTTCTGTCGGGGAAATGGGCGAAACCAAACGTTATGAAAAGCATCTCAATTTCTCCTACTTTTCGTATATTAATCGTACCGATCATTCCGTCGGTGTGCTTGGATTGCTTGGTTGTAAGTAGAAACTGAACTTGCCTATTTCCTTTCAAAAATTTGCATGCATTTTTTCCAGCAGTGCGCTTCATCTTTACAAATTTTAGAACGGGCACAAAAATCGGTGATCTCAATGTGAAATGAGGGCCTTAAAGGACAAGGCGCATAAGTGCAGTTTTTGAAAAAAATTGAGATATCAATGGTTTCAAGTAAAACTAGTCTTAAGGCATATTCTAGTACTAGTCTAGTGTTCTTCACTAGTTTTAATAATATTATTTTGCATATATTTTAAGTGCTGTTTTTGAAAAAATTTAGATGTCAATTAAAACTAGTCTCGATGCATATTCTGTGAAAAATTTTCCCCCAAATTCCAATTTTTAAGCATAAAAAAGTCAGTTTGAACTTCCTTTCCACTTTAAGGATCCGTGTAATTTCGGAACTTCAAGCACGTACTTATTTCTCGAAATAGCGAAAACAGCACTTATGCGCCTTTTCCTCTGAGCCTCTCGAATGATTATAATATATGTATGCAGATTAAAATGAAATGAAATAAAATAAAATGAAACAAAATTAAATTAAATCAAACCGAATAATATGCTATCAATGAGTTGTCCGGACGACCGATCACTCACCTATTCTGTCGTGCTAAGGATGAAAAACGCCGTATAAACATTCGAGATTTTCCAAATTTCATCCGATAAAATGTTCATTTTTGAGGAACGCTCGAAATATTTTCCTTTAAAGTTTCAGAAACTTTTGGTGAAGTTGCGAACAAAATTATCCGAAAAATTGGAAGGAAAATATCCACAAGTTTACCAGGAAATTCGTGTTTTATCAAAGGAAATTTGGCAACGCCTGAAGGTTCATACGGCGTTTTTCCTTAGCAGGACAGTATTAGAGGCAAAGGTGTAACAAGGGGATGATGGGGGTAATGCCTTGTGTTTGCTGTCTCCAGTTCACGACTATGGCGGGCCAAACGAAATTCGACCAAAAATTGTGTGCCATTTTTTTGAAGTATGGCAACACTGATTTTGAATGTTATGGTACTTCTGGAGAGGAGGAGTTGTAATTGGAATGCCGGGGTTTATCTTGCAAAGGAATGTTACGGTTAGCGCAAGGAGGGCTAATGTGCGTATACCTAATTAATTTACGGAACGAGGGTTTAGATGAGAGGTCACTTGGCGCTCCAGCCTCTATTCCGCACCAGCCTTACCCCTGACCTCTTCCCGCTCAATTCCCGAAATACCTTTAAGACAAGGCTAGTCTTCACTAAAAGACTGCGTGTTACGGAAGAAAACGGCGACGCCATTATTTGTGTCCCTAGACGCAGAAAGCGGACACGTCCACATTTTGGCGGAATTGAGTTAACATGAATTCTTATTTCTGGGTATTAGATACCCCTTAAGTGCAGAAACGAGACATGTGTACCCTGGTAAAAATTGGCAGTAGAATCTGTGTTCCAAAATACCATAGACCTAAAGCCGGCTGTAAGATTTCCAATAGCTTCTGTAGCCGGCTGTACAATTTCTCTCAGCCTTTTATAGCCGATGGCGACTGAGCAACAGCCAGACGATAAAGTTTATGCTAAACGTTACTAAATACGGATACTAGGACTTAGTTGGTTTTTGGACCACCGCTCTCTTTTTGTGCCGTAGTATCTTGATTTATTTTGCGAGGAATGTTCCGTACTTTTGAAGGATGCCGGTCATTCTTAATATGTTGGAGCGCCTTCAATTTCCCATGATACTGTGCAATACCTCCGGTGTGAAATAGTTGCTTCAGACGCCGTGGCCCGCTGCGGCGCGGCGGGCGGGCAGAGAGCGCGAAACGCGCAATAGCGCCTACAAACCTAACAGGGATACTTCACGCATTGCGCAATGCGTGAAGTATCCCTGTTAGGTTTGTAGGCGCTATTGCGTCGCCGTCGCCGCTCCGCTTTGTGTTGGGCTCTAATAATGTTTAATCTTGCGGAGTCAGCGTTTTTCATCTCATGATTTTGAAATGTTTGCATACTCTGTATGGATAATTCTCATTTTAATCGATGAAAAAAAATATGTTTTAAAGGAAAATATAATGTGTGTTTTGTAAATATTACGGTAGTTCCGTATCAAACTTAATGATTTCCAAAGCACACGAATTTCTACACAATTTCTTATAGCCAATGGCAATAAAGTGTAAAGCCCGGCGATAGGAACTCTAGCCCGACTGTATACTTTTTTACAGCTTCGTATAGCCCGGCTGTATGATTTGCTCCTCTTTCTACAGCCAGCTATATGATTTTCAATAGCCTTCTTTAGTCGGCTATAAGAACTCCTATGTTATTTTGAAACGCAGCTCCTATCGCCAATGTTTACCAGGGTAATGATTGCAAGTTGAGGAAATACGGCGGAAAATTGGGGGAATCGAGAGTTTAAGCAGGATGTCTAGCATCAGGATTTTCCCGATTTTCCCGATTCTATCGGGATTTGAGGTCAATCAGGATTTAATCCCGATTTCATCAGGATTTGAGAAAAAATCGTTCGTAAAATCAGGATTCGAGAAAAGTCGGCCGTCCGACCAAATTTTTTTATCGAGCCATTTTTGTGATACCAATTTTCTTCCGCAAAAAATCAGGACTTAGAAAAATTATAAAATCAGTATTTAGCAGTCAAAATCAGAAAAAATCAGAATTTCATCAGGATTTCCCAAAATGAAAAAAACTAGACACCCTGTTAAAGTACCATTTCCCTGCAGATCATCATGATTCTTGGAATAATATCGACATCCGGCCCACAGTGGGTCGAGTCAATGGGAGAGGTCGTACATGATTTACAAACTTTAAATGCGTATATGAAATGCGTATTTTCATTACTATGAAATGTTGATGCTCTAAAAGTAGTTTCATTGGTTTTCTCGTAAAATTTTCTGTAAAAAACACCCCTAAAAATTGAAGTAAAGATAAACGCTAAATTTTACAATTTTTTTGAAATATTGCATGTCCGCCTTCCTCCAAAGACTCGAACCACTGCGCGGCCTTTTGTGACTAAAGTCGTACGCAATGCACGAATTAAGAAAATTCCAGATGCTGAAAATTCAACCTATGTATCGGTGCCCCCGAGTCAAAAGGTACCTAACTCCATTTTATTCCCTCCGAGGTATCAGCGGACCGCGCGTCGGTCCCACTAATTCAAAAGTAAATCGCAATTATTGAAACTCCGTATCTCGTATCTCACTACCGGTGTAAGATAGGACAAAACAAATTCTCCAAACATACGGAACCGTTACTGGATATTTCTAAAACGCCACTTCGATAATATGAGTCAGGCACCCTTTGGCCCTGGGGTTGTGGTATATAAGGAATGAAAGAAGTTGTTTAATACATATATGATAATAATTATGTATAAATATATTTTGAGACAAATAAATATTCTTTTGTGTAATAAATTCAAAAGAAGGCTCTTTTAATCTTATTTACCTCATTTCCCTTTTCTTTAAACACACCCTACCCCCCTTCCGTGTTAATTATTATCAAAGACGGTTCTTGAAGAGAACCATAGAGAAGCTTCAATGCCTCGCTCAAAATTAAAAAAATATACCGTAAATTTTGCTAAGGAATTTTTACACAGTTCTTGTCCATGAAGATAGGTCTATGACGCACAAAATACAGCCTCATAAGTATTTCATGCTGTTTCAAATATACGAGGCAAAGGTGAGGAATTGTTCAATCAATTACTTACTTTTTGGTTTATTTCAGTTGCGGGATTTAAGGCACGATAACCTGAATGCCTTCATAGGAGCCTGCACGGAGCCACCGAACATTTGTATAGTGACTGTCTACTGTACGAGAGGCAGCCTTAAGGTATTTTCAACTACCGTACTTTTCCACTCTTTCTCCCTCTCCGGTAATCGTTTACATGAAAAAGATTAGCCAGCCCTGCGGGCGGATTCTTGAAATTGATAGACAGAACGATAGACTAAAAATACATAGGGAGTATGGAGCGATCCTGTCGGTTGAAATTCATGGTTCTTATAGACTAAGGGGGTAAATGATGGACTGACCATTTATAGGGTCCTTCGTGGGTTACGGTTAGTTAGTCTGTTATACCTACCTCCACTCTTTATTGTAACCACCTACTTCCACCCAAAGGATCCTTTTATAGGATCCTAAATATCCCTTTTGTTTTCTTTGTCTATAGCTTTGTCTATAAATTTCAACAATCAGTCCGCCGGACGGTAAGATATGTGTGCGGAAAACATCATACCCTCACACTCACACTCATCTAATAGTTAGAAGTGAAAAGGTTGATGTGCGTAAGTACTGCTCACAGAGAAGCATGATTTATAGGGACGATCGCAGCACTAGCATAGTAGGATAGAACATGTGATGCAATTTGCGGAAAAAAATATCGGGTCAAATTTTTTGCCAAGTCTTCCCCAAGTGTTTTTAAAGTTTCCAGGTGCCTTGTGGCGCATTGATGCTAATGCAGGTACTACTTCGCTCTAGAATTAAGCTCAAAACTTTCCGCCACGTGCAACGTTTCTCACGTGTAATTTTAATTAATAGAATGTACTACTTTGAAATTAAGACAATCTCTCCATCCACAGTCTTAAACTTCATCAAGATTTACTCGCGTTTAAATCCTCATCTCCATGAACAACTTTCGTGAAGAAACTATGTTCTCCAATAAGTGCTACGCTTACCGATAGATGCGTCCGTAATGGAAAGAGGAAAGATAGGAAGGAGTAATAATGTAATGTTAACATGCATTGCTTTATTAAATTTTGTCCAAATGGGGCGGAAAATCGGTAGATTTGAGTCTCAACAAAAAGGAATCTTTAAGATATCCCAAAGAAAAAGTTGCACGCGGTTTAGTTCTATTTCGTGCAAACAGAAGGTCTCAAATTGCGTTTTCATAGGGAAATAGGCCCCAGACATGTCCATTTGGCATCAAATAGCTGTTCCTCAAAACCACGAACTTGCCTACTGAATCTTGGGCTGAACAATCCAAACTGCCATAATCTCGGTTTATGATAAAAATGTTCGTGAAAACTCCTAAGTGCCATGGTAAACGTAATAAAGTTTTAAGTTTTTCAGAATTAAGGCCTTCCTTCTCGCGAACGGTCTTATTATCTTCGTGAGACCTAAGCCTCTTGATGATGGTAGGTAAAATTTTTGGTTCTTAACTTGTACACTGGCTTTGATCGAGTATTTTGTTTATATCTGCAGGACATCCTAGTGAATGAGGACATTCGGCTAGACAGTAGTTTCATAGCATCTTTTGTCGACGATATAATTAGGGTAAGCCAACTTTTTAGTACACGTGTACATGTGCATTCATGATAACTTTCCAGTTTCCAGCATTTTCCAGAGGTCTTAAAAATAGATGGGGTGATTTCTGCATCAACATTTCCACAAATTCAGTTAAGGCCGCTGACTGTTGTTGAATATCCTAGTCTGTTTATGTCAAGAGGAAAAGCACCCGCAAGATTGCGCGAAACCATTAATGGACTAAGCTCGGCTAGACATTGAAAGTCGAGTCAGCAATTATAAATTTAGTTGCCAAGTCGAGATGCTCTGTTGTATCCTATAGTGGAAAGACCCGAAGTACTTTTCAAGTTTTAATAATAAAACATGGATTACTCAAATTAGGCTATTTTTTATACTTTTCAAAATTGTGATTTGTAACAACTAATGCTCGGTCTCCTTTAATTTAAGGGGATGATTTTCCTTCATAGCTCTCCGTTTCAAATGCACGGGAACTTGAAAACTTCAAACTGTCTCGTAGATTCAAGGTGGGTGTTGAAGTTGACAGATTTTGGTCTGTGGCAGTTCAAAAGTGATCCCGAGAACCACCCTCACCATTTCTTAAAACATAATCAAGATACGAGCGAATCACCCAACTGTAAATGTGAAGGTACGACATTTTTAGATGCTTTTAAAAATTTGAAACCTAACTTGAAACACCTAATCTAACCTACTCTAACCTGACGCGCCGCCTGCTCTTGAGAGACCTCTAAACATGTGTTTTCTTCTTTATTTTTTTTAAAAAAAATGATAAATGATTCGGACACATCATTGTATGTTTTGAGCAAACTTAACCTTAACTTTTCTCAAATTTCAAAAATAAGAGACATCTCAACACGTGTTGATGCCAGAGATGAGAGAACTATTCCTGTTTGATGGATGTTCATGTTGTATCTGCAAAATTGAATGAGCGATGGCGCGAGGCGTGAACTCGCAATTCTTCGCTCTGTGCTGCCAATGAGATGACACTCAGATCCGGGAAAAAGATTAGAGAACGAGACCCTAATACGTCTCTCCTATCTTCGATTGGGTTGCTCACGTAGACCTTGAAGCAGCGCTACGAAGTGGAAAAATGGAACCAACCCAACATGGACATAGAGCGAGGGAAAGGACGCGTGTTCATAACGGCGCAGAGATACAACTATTCGTGCTTGATGGATGTCCGTGTTGCGTCTGCTAAATTGAAGGCGCGACGACGCGCAATGTTGCGCTCTGTCCTGCCAATGAGGTGTCGCTCAGATTCGGGGGAAAAGTTATAAAGCGAGGTCTGATTACGTCTCTCTTATCTTCGACTGCGTGGACACTCGATTTTTTCTTCTTAATCAATTTCACATCTGATTCTTTGTTTTTTTCTATGTATTTAAAGACCCATATCTAAAGCTCGTATGCACCGTTTTTAGCAAGCCTCGGGGTCATTTTGACCTGACCTGGGCATTTAAGGGTTTAAGTAAGCAGCACAAACTTAAAGTATTCAGTTCTTGCCTTCTTTCCGAAATAGTTTTTCTTCTCCTTCAATGATCATTTTATAAAAAAATGAAGTCGATTCTCAACAATATACTGGAGGGTATGGATTTGATCGACATGAATCGATCGGAAAATGAAAACGCGAATCAATCGACATGAATCGATTGACAAATTATTAAAAAACCAGTGTCGATTCGATCGACATGAATCGATCGAAAAATGAAAACGTGAATCGATCGACATGAATCAATCGACACCGATTCGATCGACAGTTAATTTAAAAGCACCCGTATTGATTCGATCGAATCGGTGTCGATTGATTCATGTCGATCGATTCACGTTTTCATTTTTCGATCGATTCATGTCGATCGAATCGACACCGGTTTTTTAATAATTTGTCGATCGAATCGGTGTCGATCGATTCACGTTTTCACTTTTCGATCGATTCATGTTGATCGAAGCCATACTCTCCCAATATGTATCCGTGGGTACTTTGAACGATGAGCGTATCTCATTTCACTGTTGCAGGTGTGAAAATTGCCTTCAAAATGTGAAGTATGCAACATATAAACGAGCGAGAGATATTTTGTTTTTTCATATGACCTTACTTTTACTATTTCTCTCGCTGTAGGGTTGTTGTACAGGGCACCAGAACTCCTGCAGGAGCCATCTCTTTTATTCAACGGAGGGACTCAGAAGGGAGACGTTTACTCTTTCGCCATTATTCTCCACGAGCTCCACAGTCGGAAGGGACCGTACGGAAAGGACTTCGTCCAAGAGGGCCACGATCCTCTCACTCCGTTCGAGATCTTATGTAGGATCACCCAGTCAAAAATGTAAGCACACCCAGCAATGATAGTAAAGGACCTGTAAAAAAGGACTTTATGGTAGTGAACATGGAGATGTTGCATGTGTGAGGAGTTTGCGATTTGACTGTTATTCTTATGTAAAAGTTCGCGAGAAACACGATGGTGCCACTGATTTCTCTAAAATCAACTCCCAAGCTCAAATAAAGCTCTCAAGTTGAGGCCAAACTGGAGGGGATATCCCACGCTATCCTGAGAGTCCACCTCTACATCAAGACAAACTCGTCATGCAAAGATAGGGAGCAAGTACATTGACATGGCTGCCACTTTATTTGGGGACTCTAAAATTGAAAACACGGCAACACTGCTAATGTATTTCCTCCCTACCTTTGCATGGAGAGTTTGTTTTGATGTAGAGGTGGACTCTCAGGATAGCGTGGGACATTCCCGCCATTTGGGCCTCAACTTGAGAGCTTTTTTTGAGCTTGGGAGTTGATCTCAGGGAAAACTAGTGGCACCATCGTGTTTCTCGCGAACTTTTACGTTGGAATCAACAGTCAAATCGCAAATTCCTCACACATACAACACCTCCATTAGGAACTATCATTTCTGTTTCATCTCAGAAATAACATGTGTGCGATTAGTTGCTCTGCACAGATAGGTCTCAAGGATGAAGGACGGCGCAATGAAAAAATCGAAGTATTTGCACGATTTAACGCAATAAAATTATAACTTTTTTACCATAAAATTGCATTATTTAATATCATTTGGTCAAATTCTTCCAAGCTGAGTATATTTATCGAGTGGAGTAAAAAAATCGAATTATTGTTGTATTTTGACAGAAAACGCTTTCCTAATACCTGTATGAGAAAGTTTTCAAGAGGTTTACTGCGTTTTCGATTATTCAGAGTGCCTAAGCGGAGAAATTGCAAAAGTCCATTCGAAATCTCGGTTGTTTAGTCATGTTTCGCGGCCTAGTAAGCTTTTACCGTTATTTGCTCATACGATCTGGCAACACTTACTGAAAAATACTACGCATAGTACTATGGTGAGTACGATGACGAATTCTTCGGCTCTGATTGGCCCGCTCTGTTTTGAATGGTTCATTCATAATTGCGTAGTGCATGCGCGGCGACGACGCCAGCACGCACATGCCACATGGTTGAGTTTGTAAACAAAGCAAGCGGTAAATACGATGATTCTTTTCTTGAAGTAAATTCGGTGTAGATTTACTCATTTTTTTTCTAATAATGTGTGAGATTAGGAGTGCCGTTTTCAGCAAGGGTATGAAGATCGTAATATCCGCATTTATTCCAAAGTCCGAACTGTGTGACAGGATTGAGGTTATTCGTTGTGAGTTATTCAATGCTTGGTCTGTTGAGTTTTTTTTCACCACTTTTTGTCCAAATTTTTGTCCTTGTCTTTGTCACTTCCTCGTCTAGGATGCTTTGTTCCAAGTCTTACTATTCTGATAAAAACTTGATCGTGCATTAGTCCATCCACAATGCTTTCAGTCTAAGTGGAATTCAACCCTTCATTCTGCGCGTTGTGAATCTGATCAGAGTGTTCCCTTTCTGTGCATCAATTATTAATCGTATCTTATGTATTCCCTAGCCTGCTTTTGAAGCTACTCTAAATAGCAGAATATTGTAATAAGTCATAACATTTTGACTCTGCAATCAAAACAAGCTGCAGAATTGCTATAAAGTAATGGCAACTGATCATATTTTGCCTCGTTTACCTCCGTTTAAATAACTGACCAAAGTTTTCTCTTATATGATGCTTAATGTTTGTCAGCAATTTATCATTCTATAGATGGAGTGCATCAAATATTTTTGTTTATACGACATATCATATGCCATAGTCAGGACAAACCACCAGAAAAGGGCTTTTTTGCCCTGGACTCCTACATTCTAGCACAGCCGTAGAGAGAAAAGTTTAAATCGAACTTATTCTGTAACCATTGGAGTGTTTCCCTTAATCTTGAACCCATTTTAATGAAGCACCTTAGATCCTATATTTTGTATTTCTAAGTACAATACTCTTTCTAGAAGTCTTTTCATCGCATTAAAATGGACCATTCATGAATATAAACACTCATTTATGAGAGGCAGAATGTAAAGGTATATTTTGATGGTGTAAGTCGGCAATCACACAACTGGGTTTGTGACGTAGCAGACTTCTTGTTATACTTTATTTTTTAAATGGAAAACTACTCAACGGTAATTTTTTAAAACTGCAGTGATTTTTCTTGCGATTTCTCTGTGCGAAGAAAATTCTGCAAAAACTTCAAGGAATGATGTCAATTTGTTCTCCTTTAAAAACATGACATAGAGGCGGAGATTTTCAGACACTGCAAAGGAGATATGTGATTGCGGACTCACTAGTGTAACTCATGCGACCTTTGGTATATTTTACAGTGAGTACCGGCCAAATCTTGAACTACTGGAAAACAGTTTTGAGTATGTTCGAGACTGCTTGCAAGAGTGTTGGGACCAAGACCCAGAGAAACGTCCAGACTTCAAAATGGTGCGGATGAAACTGCGGCTTATGAGGAAAGGGATGTAAGTACCTTCACCGATATCTGTTACAACAAACATCTCTGTCTGATGTGCGTGAATTCAATTTTAATTTGAAAAATTTCTTTTTGCTTTTCCTTTTTTTAAAGGAAATTGGACTGCGTTTAACAGAAAGGAACCAGGCCACATCAGCTATTGCCAAATTTAATTGGGCACTTTAATTTTTTACGAGGAAATGTTTGTGCAGATTCTTTGGAAAATTGTAAGGAATTTGTTTCACACTGGGGAGAAAATTCCCTGAAATTTGCATGAAGATCTGCACAACCGTTTTCATGTAAAAAATTAAATTGCCCAGTTGAATTTGGCAATAGCTGATGCGGCTTGGTTCCTTTCTGTTAAACGCGGTCCAATTAACGCTCAACATCTATTTATGGCCATTTGGTTTCTCTTAAACTTAAAAGGTTTTATCTGATGCCCTCATTAAAGCTGAATTTCCAAAACCTGAAGTTAAGTTTTAATTGATTCATCACCACCAACCTACGCAACTTTTTATAAGTTTGAAGAAAAAAAAAAAAAAAAAAAAAAAAAAAAAAAAATCTTTTGGTAGGTACAATACTTTTAAGTTTCTCTGGTGTCTGCAAAACAAATGATTTAAATAGCTAGTTGACAGAAACCATTCAACTCTACATACTTCAATAAATTTCACTAATCAACACATGATGTTCAAGTCATCTTACATGCTTCTCCTAACTAAGGTACATTCTCATTCCTGTGGTTATCTGTTCAACTTTAGGAAATCAAATATTGTGGACAACTGCATGGCAATGATGGAGAAACACTCATCAGGAATGGAATATCTTGTCTCTGTACGCACTGCTGCTCTCAATGAAGAAAAAAAGAAAACAGGTACCTATGCTGTCAAAGCTCAGGACATCATTTTCCCATTTACTCTGTCTCATTTTGGAGCAATCCTTAAAAGTGGGTTGTGTGTAAATACAACGTAAACCCTGCAAATAGCAACAGCAAGGCAATGCACAATGGAGGTAGAGGCTGAAACTGACACTGAAGGATGTTTTGTTCATCTAGAGCTGTATAAAAGCTGGTACTTGCATTCCTGTCATACACAGAGAAGCGATCAACCAATCATAAAATGGACTATTTATGAAATGCATGCTACTGAAAACTGCACTGTCTAAGAAACCAATGGAGCTAGATAGTCCATTTCCTAATTGGTTACGCGATTTAAAGCACGTAAAAACACGTCCATAAGCAAAGTATTGAAGGTATTTTGGAGGTAAATTACTCAAAAAACATTGCAACCTTACGCAGAACTTGTCAGGAAGTCTGGGTTGCGCTGCAATGAGGCAGAATATAAGGGAGATATGATATTCAAGGATGGACTTTTTTCTTTTATAAAAAAAAAGGAATCAAGCGACGAAGAAAACTAACTTGAATGAAATATAATTGAACCATATATGTGACAAAAAAGCAACCTGAAACACTATGGGGTTAAAAGCTCTTTGCAAAATGAGATCCCTTATTAAGTGAGTTTTATTTTTAATTTTGGCTGTGATCTTGACTCTCTTGCTGATCTAAACTTTTGACCCCATATTACAAAAAAGATAGATGTCTTGTATTTAGTTTTGATTAATCACCTAGTAATGCTCGCCCATGTTGAATACTTTTTGACTATTAGCTATAAGAGACGGTTCATTTGAGGAGAAAAAATTAAATTTTATCATAATTTACAGAATTGTTTTTCAATGTCATTACTTCTGTTATTTTAGAGGCTTTGTTGAACAAGATGCTTCCTCCTTCAGTAGCTGAACAGTTGATTCAAGGCAAAGAAGTCAAACCTGAAGGCTTTGACTGTGTCACAATTTTTTTCTCAGATATTCAAGGTTTCACAGAAATGTGTGCCCAAAGCACACCTTTAGAGGTAAGCACCTTTTTTCTTTTCTCATTTAAAAATAAGCTAATTTCCAATTATTTGGTGGCCCTCCAAAAAATTGGTTGAATTCATAAAGAAATAGACCAGTCCTTCTGATTCTTTGTTTCCTCATTAGAAACAGTAAGATTTGTCAAATAACTTTTTCCCCCGGGATTCATCTGAGTGCTCCAACTAGGTTTATGGCAAACACCTTTTCTTGCTTGTGTTTAAATCTTTCCAATTTTTTATTAACATAGATCTTGCAAGGAAGCCGATATCGCGAGAGGAAGTAGCTTTGAAAATAGACAGCTATTCTTGTTTTACATGATCTGCCCTTGTTAGTGTTCACTGAAATATTTGAAAGTTAGTAAATTTCTCAGTATATAATTATTTTTACCTAGAATTTTCGTCTACCAAGAGTACCCTGCAGTAAAAATGTGTCACTGGTTCTTGGTGTGGACCATTTAGTATGTACTCAATCGGTATAGAACCATTCATGAGAGGTCAAAACTTCTAATTAAACAATATTCTTAGTGTATGCATAAATCGCTTCATCCATGGAATGTCTGACATAGGTAGGCTGACTCTGGTGATCCAATGAAGTATGTGTTCATTTTTAAAATTACAATAATGAAATTCCTCCACTGGATTTTATCAATTATGGTGTTGTGAGACAGCTTGAAAAACTGTTCCCTGCAGTCAGGTTTTGTCCCCAGCACTCCTCGCTCCCTGGAATTTCTCTATCCAAAATTCAGTCCTTCTTTGCACAACCAGATTTTGCAAGTCCATTCTTTCTCATTTCACATTACTGACACCAGTTGGCTCACCCTCTCCAAATTTTTTCTCTAATGTGGTGGCAGGAGAGCAGAATTTCCCTAATCCAGTGAACGAATCTTTCAGTTAGTGAATAATGAAAAAGCAAGGCTGACATTTTTGCAGGCCAAAAGTATTTTTTCTGTTTGTTAAAATTTTCATATTTTTTTTTCATCACCTTTTTCTTGGCAAGGGAAGAGGACGAGAAAGCAGAATTGGGCAGTAGGTATGCAGAAAAGGTATGCATAACATCGGCAGCACTCCTGTAATGGACAAAACTAAGCAAAGAAATTGTGAGCAAGTTTCTTTTGCTTCCAATGAAATGTTTCCAATTTGTGAATCAAAAACTGTTTAAGCTGAGAAAACAGGAGAAAAATTGAAAAGGCTCTCAGTCCGGTTACACATGCTTAGGAAAATTTTCTTTCCCTGCTGAAGAGGAAGGCAAGGATTTCTTCTTTTTTTTTTGTGGTATTACCTAACATTACTTTTTGATATGTTTGAAGTCACTGTCCTTATTTACTTATATTTATTTATCCGCTCATTTTCAGGTGGTCAAATTCCTAAATTGTCTCTATTCTTGTTTTGACGAGATTATTGACCACTTTCTTGTATACAAGGTGGAAACTATTGGTGATGCTTATATGGTGGTAAGTGAATTTTCTATTTCATAAATGTGTCGTGTGTTCTTTTGATACTGACCTTCTTGATGCAAACTCCTTTTTCGAAATAGAACCAATATTTTTTTCAAGAGCTCAAGCGCTAAAATCCAAGTTTTGGGAAAAATAGGGAAAAAATGTGCCCCTCAGCATGTGCTCAATCTTTTGAGCTCCATAAACGTATGTGTCCGAAAAGTACCAAATGAGATTGGGCTCAAAAGATTGAACTCACACTTTTTTCCGTTTTTCTCGAGACTTGGATTTTGGCACTCAGGCTGCGAAGGGAAGTCTTGGTTCAACCATGAAACCAGCATAATTCCTAAGGAGAGATTTTTTGAATGGGCCCGTTTTCACAAGATTTCAGAGTAGAATATGCTAGTCTTTGTCAAAATCATGCTCTTGGTATTTATTTATGCAAATATAAATTAATTATTGTGCTCCTTTTCGTATGCGTAATGTGGAAATATGAAACTTTTCTTTTTCAATGCTTTTTTATCAAGGTTTTTATACTTATCATTTGTCAGAAATTTCAGTTTATGAAAGCATTTTTTCTGATTTATTGGGAGAAAATAACAAACACATATGTCACATTGCCTGTTAAAATGGTTCAAACAAAGAGAAACATAGCTGCTGCAAGTCAAGAGGGAAGAGATTAGAGAGATGTGTGGGGAACATATTTAGGCAAGAAACATTAAAATCACTATGATATGTAGTACCTGATTGGAATCTTTTGTCCCGAACATTAGTCTATAAAATGTACTGATTGAAGAAAGCTTTGGTCAGTAATTCAGCTTTTTCAACATCTTTTGCTCAATTTTTTTTATGCTTTCATTTGTTGGTGGAATATCAGCTATGTATAAAACATGTAAAAATAAAATTAAAATTCAATACAAAAAAATAGAAAGAAAAGAAGCTCTTCATTGAAACCTGATGTAGCTCTTTGTTTTTAGATATTCTTATGTAGTTTCTTCAATTGAAGCTGATTCTAACAGAAATAATATTTCCAAAGATACTGTCACACAATCAATTTCGACTGTACATTCTGACAGGGGATGCACATAGACTGTCCACTTCTCCTTGCAACTGTCACTAAATGTACTATCAGACTGCCAGTGCGACAATGGTGAGAATGTTTTGTTACATTGTCAATGATCAATACATGCAGAGTTGCAGACTTATTCATTAATAAAGGGCTAAGTGGCAAAAAGTTGATTTTGAGTTTTTCACATTTTTATTTCTAGAAATAGGTATACCATGAAGTATACCACTGACGCTATCTCTTGGCATCATTCAGACGACACCATTTCTGGTGGTATACAGCCTGTTATGCAGCACGTTGTCCTTGGTACCGAATGTGAATTGTGATGTTTAATTAAATGTTTGATTTTGTGCCACTTAGTCGGTTACTTCTGTTAAGTCTTGACATTATTTCTCAGTCAATCACAAATAAGTTGTTGCGTTACAGGCAAGTGGCTTGCCCATCCGAAATGGAAATTTTCATGCTGCTGAGATAGCTACAATGGCGTTAGATCTGTTAGAGGAAGTGAAAGCATTTAAAATCGAGCATCGTCCAGATGATAAATTGCAACTCAGGATGGGGATTCACTCAGGTAAAGTTTTCTCATGTCTTGGATCTCTATAACAATGCTTAGTTTCTTTCAAAATTCCATGCATACCTCATTTTTCTGAGGGGAAGCAAATCAACTTTACGACTTGGAATATTCTGTAGATAAGTATGAAATTATAAAAAATCGAAAAACATTTCAAGCTACAATGCTTTTTTTTCCTGTGAAGTAGAGCCTACGTGGAAATTTTAAAACGCTGCAATTAAGATGTGGGATGGGAGCTCACAAGAAGCTAATAAAACGCAGAGATGGTTTTATTCTAAATCATGTTCGAGTGCAATTTTAGAAGTATCTAAGTATATTCATAAACTTGCAATCAGGTGTCAACCTTGTGCCTGTATTTTTATCCAATCCTTTATGCTATAGACAGAAGGCAATGAGTCACATATTGTGGTGATCTCATGATAAAAAATATAAACAACAGAAGTAATATATTCATCAGGTATTTTAGTCCTATCGGTAGTTCACTGAAGTTTCTCTCATTGAAATACAAGAGGACTGGATACCTCAAAGATATGCTGTAGTTCTGCTCAGAGCATCCTTCTCGGATAGGATGTTTTTAATTGTATTGGAGCTACCATATTATGTACTGGGAACACATCTATGGTTTTAAATTTTGAAGGAAAGGAACAACAAATTTGTACATTTACCCTTTTAAGTTTGTTTTTGATAAACTTTTTCGATTTTTCAGAGGTTCACCCTTATATATCAAAGGCAGATGCTAGCATCTTTTTGAAAGTTCAGTGGAGTCTCATTAAACTCAGACCACTCTTAAGAGTCTGAGTTGAAAGATTCTATTTATCATTATCTGAGGCATTTTTCTGATAAAGACTTCTAAAAATCGATGATAAATCGCTCTACTTCCAATACATTTTTACATTATAAGATACTTTTTTTTCTTTATTTAATTTTATTTTATTTAGAATTGGTTTTGAAACTCTCTGTTTACTTTTTACAGGTCCTGTGTGTGCAGGTGTTGTAGGACAAAAAATGCCGAGGTATTGTCTGTTTGGGGATACTGTTAACACAGCGAGTCGTATGGAGTCAAATAGCGAACGTAAGTACACTACATTTTTAACCCTTAATGCGTCAAATTATATCAATCAGATGTAACTTACAAGAGGAACTTCCCAATCTGCCGCCTCTGATCGGGCTGAAAAAATTTGTACTATCTCCTTGGATGAATCCATTAGGACCATGTCGTTTTGAAAATATGGTCCTAATGGATTCACCCAAAGAGTTTGTACAAATTTTTTTAGCCTGATCGGAGGTGGCAGGTTAGGAAGTTCCTCTTGTTAGTTGTTCAAAGAAATTTATGCACAAAAAAATTCAGCCATGGATGTAAGTAAAACACATTACTGACACTTGGCAGTTTTGCGACCCGCCGCTGGAGATTGTGCATTGAAATTTGTTTAGCTTTTGTTCTGTTCATCTCTCTCTCCGATTTTTGTTCACCTGATGATGGCTAGTAACTAGCCGAAATGGCCATAGTGATTGTCTAAAGTTTGACAACCAAGATATTAAATTGCAAAGAATGTATGTTGCACAATCTTAGCAACATTGAATTGCTCTTGGTTCCTTTTTGCAAAATGCAATCTATTTTTTCCAGTTTCTGAAAAAGAACCCATTCGCAAGCGGATCCTTTTCCCGGAAAGCACGATCTTTGCAGATTCTACAGGCTTGGTTCACATGTTACTATGAAAGCGTTAAATTAAAATAATTAATATTTGTGTTTTACCAAGTCAGTTTATGTATTTATATGTTTTACAGCACTGAAGATTCACTGCAGCAATGAAACAAAAGAATTGCTGAAGGCTCTCGGTGGTTATTTGTTGGAGAAAAGAGGCGAAATCGAGATGAAAGGGAAAGGTCTAGTCACAACACACTATTTATTAAAAGAAGACCACAGTCATCGTGAAAGGCGTAATATTGAGCGAGACAAGTGGCGAGCTGACTTGGACAAGAACATTCTGAAAAGAACAAAAAACCTTGAAAGCAATGGATATCCACAGCGCGGTAATGGATTACCGAGAAGCAGTTTGAAACATCGGAATCCTGCAACAAATACTCAGACCCTTTTATCGCGATGTGTCAGCTTAGAGTCGCCTAAAAGGTTAAGGTTCGCCAATAATCCAGAATTGAAATGTCCTCGTGATTCTTTAGAGATTATCTCTGATTCTAGTCCAGCAAAAAGACGACCCTCTGGTGTGATGGAACTAGATGAGCTGTTTTGTGAACGGCACTTTAGTGCATCTTGTCCTTGTATTAAGGATGTTATTCCGACTGTGAATGGGGTTGAAATTGATAATTCCTCAAAAACATCGAAACGGACAGATTTGCTGTCAACAAGTGTTCCTTCATTGTGCCCAGTACTCCCTTTGTCACTTAAATCTGATAGAACGGATATTGACATCAGATCATTGAATGATGACAGTGTTTCAATACCCCTTCTGAGTTTCAATGAACAGTGTAAGGACTGATGAAAATGTTTCTTCGTAAACTTCCTAGATGCAACCAATTTTTCTGTACAAACTTTGTGGATCTCTAGCTTAATGTTAGGTTTGGAGAATTTTTAATTGACTTCAACCAAGAAACTATCTGCAGAAATTTGATTTAGTGCCGTAATACGCTAGTTTCAATCCAGCGTAAAGTGTAACTCTCTAATGCAGTCGTGCAAAAGACAATTTAAAAAAAACCTTACACAAAAAAATAACTCAGAAACTTACATAAATTCTCAAAATTTACTTTAAATTTTCTTAAAAAGTGAAGGAATAAAGGATATTCTCTGGTTTTTATTTGCAAAAAGAAACTGCGAGACAAGAAACTAAGATGTCTAAATGTACTTCGCAAGTGATGGTACAAAAAGGCTTTATTTTTCACCATTCTCATACTGGGTATTTTTTTGCAAAACAGTACATTTTCATGCATTTGCGCACTGGGTATTGAATTTCTATACTTCTAAAGTTGAGTGCCCTTCTGTGTAATAGTAAGTATTGTCAGTGTATTGGAAGACTGAAATTTTATCAAATTTATAGATGGGCACTAGAAGTTTTTTAATTCATATTCTGTCAGGTACTCCTCATACTTTCAATCTGAGTGTATTTTATCATAATATTCGATTAGGTTTTAAATATTTGCTAATAGCGTTTCTGGAAGTGAAGAAGTATTTCTGAAAGTGATATAGTTTCCTGCAATTAGTCTCAGAAACTGCAAAATATTATTGTGTCCTTCTTTTACTTATGAATCATTAGCTGAGTTAAGTTTTTGACGTTACTTATTTTCTAATTTTATCTCTTTTAAATACTTTTTGAATTTTAATTTCGATTGGAAACTTTGTAAATTTATCATAAAATTTATGATATCAGAATGAAGGATGGTAGTTTATCTACCAATTTTACGAAGGAGCAGTATAAATCTTCAATCTATTTTTAAGGCATTAATTGATAAATATCGATTGATTCTGTAAAATTTCACTTTTTTTTATTTAGAGAGAAGAAGAGTTTTACAAATTTTCACTGGGTCATAATGCTCTTGGCCTTTCATCCCTTCATTCATATCCCTCACTGCGTGTAACTCTATCGTTCTCTCAGTGATCAACTGGAAGGAACTATTCAATGCAGAACGAGGCCATAGCTGCTTGCCTTAAAAATTTACTGCCTTCACATTGATTTATTGTAAATGGAAGAAAAAACATCATTTTGAAGTACATATGACATCAAAATTTTGCCCACAGACAATGTAACCAAATAAGAAACAACTTTCTCTGAATCCTTATAATTTTTTAAACCTTCGTGCTCACTGTGACATTCCTGACATGTAAGTTAACTTAGGTAGAAGTTTTTAGAACATAGATATTTTATTAGTTAAATTGCTTTTGACTTAGATTTTTAATTGAACAAATGATTTTTAAAATCTCTATGTAAGGTTTAGTCCCTTTACTGCTTGTAAAATGTTTGTGAGCTGTTTAGTCCCTTTACTGCTCGCAAAATGTTTGAGAGCTCTCTGACTGTGTTATTGTCTCAATGGTTGAAAAAATAAATAATTGTTTACTTTAATTCCTGCTGAGTGAATAGTTATTTAGGCTGTCACTAATAAAAGGCTCAGTAAATCAGAGATAGAGTCTGAAAAGGAGCCTCCTGCATTTTTAAGCTACCTAATCAAAACCAAATATTTGAAAAGAACAGGATTTGTTGATCATAATTAAGATGGATTATTTTATATTAGGAAAAGTTCTTTACTGTTATCAATCATTAGAAAAAGAAAAAAAAATCCTTAGAATCATCACAGTTCTTTTGTTGGAGCCCGTAAATATGAGGTCGATATTGATCACATCACTGGGTTTGTGCTCAACATCTCTGAACTCCTTCATTTGAAAAAGCAAGCAACTTATTCAGCATCAATTCAATAGCGTGTTGCATATCTTGTGGTAAGAAGGCGTTCTATACCCGCGTTTAGATAATATTCGATATCGTCCACGCAGCTAGTGAAGTAAAAAACCTACTCATTCTTCAAATTTCACACTCCTAATTTACTCACGTTGCTATATTTTCTTAAAATTAGGTAAGATTTCAAATTTAATCAGGAGTCATTTTAAAACATTAAATGCGTGCAACATGCTCAAAGTGTGCCACACTGACTTGATAAAAGGAAAACAGACTCAGGTCTGAATAATACCAGAAGGAATCAAGACAAACAGTTAAATCCTATGCACATAAGTAGTTCCTTTTGATTTAATTCAGTTTTAATTACATAGTTCCTTTTGCCATAAACATGCCCAATATTGCCATCATAAAATTGATTTAAAGCTACTATTTCGCTATCAGTATTTTGAAAATGTATCTGCTCTATTAAAGTCAGATAAAGGTCCCACGACAAAGATACTCCCTGACTTTTCCTTATTTTGAGTATATCTTTCTGTCCATCGTGCATATAGATACTCTCTGTGATTGAACATTTAAATATTTTGAATTTTCAATAAATGACTTATAACACATGAACGCTCAGGGAAATAGAGATACATTCAAAGAAGGTATCATGGATTCCCAGAGACCAATGTAACTTGAAAGGAAAAAAAAACTATACCTGCTAAATGAAGTCATCTCTAAATTATCCTACTGAATTATTGTGGGTAAGTAGCTTTTTCATCCGTCGGGAAGGGTATTCAACCTGCGTTCTCTCCAATTATTCTGTCAATACTCAATTCTATAATAATTTTACCAATTGGTCTGTTGTCTCTCTTTAAAACCAGCTTTGAAAAACTAACTTTTTTACGTTCCTCAACTGCCTTATCATCTTTTGACGTAATCTGTTGCTTATAAAGCGTCCTCTGTGCTTCTCTCCTGATTCATCTAGGTACCCGTAGTCTTGTTGATTGATTATATTCTTTAATGTTTTAAACAGCCTCAAGTTATTTTTGCCGTCATGTCAAAGAACCTCATCATTGCGGATACCTGAGACTTTCTCTCAGCATAAAGTTTACAAAATATAGATGAATATGCATGAAAGTCAAAGTCAAGAGAGGGAATGAGACAACGCAGAGTGTCGAGGCTTAAAAAAATGTGAAAGGAAAGGGAATGAAATAATTGAACCTCGAGCTAAGTTTGATTTTAGACCGGCGCGCCAAAGTAAGTTCAATGCGAGGGTTGTCATTGGACCCCTGCTGCCGTGGTGCGCAGTCGATCATATGAGGGCGGCGAGGGTAGGTTTTAATTAATCTCAGGAAGCATGCTCAGAAAGGGGGATGGCGGTTATTTAAATTTGGCGGCAATGCGTAGGGCGGCAGAAGTTGATTGGTGGAAGGAGAACACGTGATGCATGATGGCGTCGGAATTTCAAAAGTGCTTACGAAAACATGGTGGGGGGCGTTGAGTGAAGTTCACTTGTTGCTCCACACTCTTCAAGATGGTTTTCCTTCGTGTCGTGTTATCTCTTCCGTGTCCCGTGTATTTTACGATTGTGTCAAACATGCTTCAATGATTTCGCGATTATGAGCTGCAATTTTTCTCCGAGCCCGTGCTAACTGAACAACTAGTCATTCTCGTGCTCTTCAAGTTTCCGCTGTTCGCTTTTTCCGTAGGTTCGGCGCGTGTTTGTTTACTTTTTCTCCGAGAAGTTGGTGATTTCAATTTTTCAGTTCGCTACAGAATTGGTCGAAAGTTCCCCTCTGTCGGATTATCTGTGTGTGTACGGTGCTATACAGTGCGGTGAGGATATCCTTCCACGTATTTCTGTTTCATATTCCTCCTAGGAAAATTTTATGAAAAAATGAGTCCACGGCTCAGTGTCGAATTGTGTTATTTTTAGACCGTGTATCATTAATTGTTCTCTTTCATCCTGTGCTGTGAGCTGTGTTATCACTGTGGAGATTTACGTGTTTTCATCGTCCTCCCGCAAGCAGAACTCCTTGACTTGACTTCTCAGAGAAAACTTGCTCAGGTTTTATGGAAGACTCCTCACTTTTGAGCTTGCTGCCTTCAGCAACTCTCCTGTCAGTCCCAAGTAAGGTTTTTTTATTTTTTATTTGCATTTTCCTACACCTACTTTAACTAAGTAACTGCATCAAGTCAGAGTGTCTAGAGAGTTGTCCTATGAAACGGCTTTTATCTTTCATGAACAACTTGCTCAAGCAGTTCAAATGAAAGTTAAGACGCTTTTTCTTCGAAGCAGGCTTGCATTGAATGAAGTCTTTACTTAAGGATTGCTGCGTGAATTAGACCAGGCAACTCTTTTAACTTGTGAACTTTCTTCCTTATCAGTTGTAGCGTCAGAATTGATTGTGAAACACAGCGCTATACTGTCAAAAGTTTTATCAGGAGCATTGTCTAATATTGTTGATGAAAATCCTCTCTGCTTCTCACTCCTCTTTATTTTTTCAATGCTGGAACTGCCCTCCACATCACCGTAAAGTATGACCCAAAGATTATTGCATGGTGCTTCTTGTGTGAAGACTCCATTCACTTGAAATGATTAGCCATCTCACATTGATAGTTGTGAAAACATGGATCTTATTTGGGAAGTACAGATTAGTCAGTATGTATTTATGATCGAAGGTGTTTAACCTCTCAATGAAAAGTTTATCAACGGATTTCTATGATTCTTTCCGCATTTATTTTTTTACATGCTGTAGGTACAATCTAGGTAACTTATTTACTATTGAATGTAGACACCTTTAAATGCAAATGGTGTGAAAGGTGTGCCATCTCGAAAGAATTTTACTTGTGAATACTTGTGATGACTTCACAAATTCATCTTATCCATAACTATCATCAACAATCAACTAGAAAAATAGTGAACACGTACAGTCAAATAAAAGTGGAGAGCGTGGGCACCACATTGGTGAGACCTCAGTTGAAGGGAAGGACAGAATGTATTTACTCTGTTGAGGGGCTTCGAGGACAAGGCGCATGAGTGCAGTCTTAGAAAAAATTTAGGTATTCATGAACTTGAAACTAGATCTAGTTTGAAAGTATATTGTGTGAAAGATAAAGTACAAAAAAGAAGTCAACGAGTTAAGTAGAAGATCCCCCTAAAATTGGGTGAAAGTCATTTTTATTTCGGTTTTTAGATACTTACACTTCTTTGCCTTTCCTTAGTACCTGTGTGCACCTATTCAATTGAATTTCTTTTTCAAATTATTGAATGTCCCCAAAAAACTACCTACTATAACTAACTATCTATGCACACATAAGTCAGTAAGGGCTATTCTGACTTACAAACTGCGACCATTCCAAGGTCCATCATAAGAGCGATGACTTCCATTCTTTTGCCCAGCTGTCACATTTGACTCGGAGTTTGAGAGCCAACAGCAATTTCTCATTGGTGGAAGTCCAACAATAAAAACACACAATACTTAGGTGCATATTTATCCTGTTCAGGAGGAAGAAGTCCTTCAGAGTCCATGAAGTAATTGTCATTTTCTCAGTGTAAGACAGCAAGTATTGTCATTTAGACGGTGAATTATTTGAATCAATGAACGCTCCTCTTGCACACTCAGGGACTTGCCAATTTCCAATTTAGGGAGACAGGGAATCACTCTCCAGATGTTACAGGTCGTAGGAATGTGGATTAGATCATTTACATTTTATTTTGGTTTACCTTCTTGAAAACTTTGGCTGTAACGTCAAAGCTTTTTTTCCGTGGACTCAATCATTCCAGAACGTACAAATCTAATTTAAAATTTTTGCAGAATTTAGTCAAAAAGTTTTCTTAGGGTTGCTCAAAAGATTCCCCTAAAGCTTTCAATCAATTTTAATGATCAGAAGACAAAAATATTCACATAGGCAACTAAGAATTTTGAGAAGATTAGCCAGAATTCCAGAGAACCGTGGACTTTCAAAAGATACCCGTCCAGTTTCCATGAATTTTTTCAGTTTTCAGAATAGAAGTAGGTAACTGTAGGAATGCGTGGGAAGTAGAAAAATTATTTTTTAATCTATATAATTCCTATTCTTAATAACGATTCGTGCAACCAGGAGTTTTGCAATAAACTTCTGAGTGAGGCATTAGGAAGTCTTTTTGACATGGATCAAGTGGAAATTCGATTCCACAAATAACGTTATTATAATTTTTGTCATTTAATCAGTTTCAATAGAAGATCCTCCTATCTCATTTAAGAGTTGAATTTCGGACTTCCCATTGTGCGATTCGTTTTCCTTGAATTTTGAAGAGGAAGCACACAGTGTTGTGCTTTAATTCATACCTTGTCTAGAGGCCCATGATAGCTTTTGTTGCATTACTTACGCCAAAACAAAGGTCGTTACGGCCCGTTTTTCATGCTTTGAATTTCGGATTTTGCGGGAATACTTGGCGCCATATCGTATCCACCCACGTCACGGCGTAAATCAGAAACTGTGTCCATCTAATTTTCTCTGTATGTGGATCATGGTAATCCGCACAGGGTTGCCACAGTTAGGGAATACCGGGACATGTCAGGGAATTTTAAAAAGTCAGGGAAGACCTGGAAGTGTCAGGGGAAAATTGTTAATTTGTCTGTATTAGTTTTCTAGAATGGATTTGACGTTTAGAACAACTTGTTTTGTCTGGAAAATGTTTCAAATCATGTCTTTTTGGCCGTGGGACGTATCTTCAATTTTGTCATGGAATTTTACCCAAGTGTCTCAGGGAAATATCAAGGAATTTGAAAAAGTCCAGGAAAACCTGGAAATGTAAGGGCAAACGACGATAGTATCAGGGAAAAACTGTTAACTTACCGTTATTTGCTTTCTAGAGTGGATTTGACGTTCAGAACAACAAATTTTGCCTGGAAACTATTTCAAATTATGTCTTTTTGGCCGTATGGCGTATCTTAAATTTTCAGGGAATTTTACTCAAATCATCACCTTCCGGCCAAAGCACATACATCACAAGCGCCATGCGACGTTCAAAAATTTCCGCCGCCATTTTATTTTTTTTACCGAGAAATTGTCCAACGAAGCTGTCCTAAAATTTCACTGAATTTTTTTCGTGCTGCCGATGAAACTCAGTGAAATTCTCAAACAGATTCAATCTAAGATTTCTCTGTAAAAAAATCAAATGGCGGAGGAAATTTTGAAGCGTCGTATGGAGCTTGTGCAGGGTTTCTACAAGTCCGGAATTTCTGTAAAATCCGGAAATAGTACTGATTTTTTGAGGACGGTCCGGAAGTACTGAAACAGTGCGGAAATTCCGCAAGGAGGTCCGGAATTTTGTCATTTTTTTCGTCTTTTTTGTCGCAATTTGAGGACGAAATTCAAATATTTGAAATTTTTCGAATTTCGCCAATTAGAGGTACTGAAAAAGTACTGAATTTTCCCGCTGAGGAGGTACTGAATTTCTCGGGAATGTACTGAAAAAGTACAGTAAAAGTACTGTTTTTTGGGCAGCCTGTTTTAGTACACACCCTGTTGTGATATTTTGGCCGAAGGGTGACGAAATGTGTCAGGGAATCTAATTTTCTTAATTTTGTGGCAACCCTGTCTGAGAGGATAAATTTTCCAGGCGCGTGCCGTCTCGCGCGGGGGCGGGGGCGTCTTTCTTGGTGGCCTCAAAGGCCTGTTGCAAGGGGGCATGTCCCGGCTGCGTGAATAGTGATCTCACTCTCCCAATAATAGTCGTCCTTTTTCGCGGCGATAAGCGGATCGCGATCGCATCGGGCCGCGGCCGGCCGTTCTGGAAGTGGCTCCGAGCCCGGCGCACACCGTATTCAGTCAATCAGAGCGGTCGAACAAGAAAATTTTGACTAAAATTACAAATTTTGATGTTTATCTCGTCATAAATTCTCATTCCAGGGTGTCTACAAGTCGGGAAATAGTACTGATTTTTGAAGAGCGGTCCAGCAGCCTGATTGCTGAAATTTTTTGTTTGTCGGGACGACATAGATGTAATAGGTTAAAAGGTGGAGCGTGATTGGTCGGCTATGTCTCATCGCTGCTTTGTCGTGCCTATGTCGGGTTGAGGGCACGACGAGCTAACGGCACCTCTTAAGTTTCCGACAGTATGTCGTACATTCCACCTGACAAAGGCACGAAAAAGCAGCGATAAGACTTAGCCGACCAATCACGCTCCGCCTTTTAACCTATGACATCTATGTCGTCCCGACAAACAAAAAATTTCAGCAATCAGGCTGCAGGAGTGCTGAAAAAGTGTGGAAATTCCGCAAGAAGGTCCGGAATTTTCTTAATTTTTTGTCATTTTTGTCGCAATTTCGAATTCTTGAAATTTCGTCAAATGGCGGCACTGAAAAAGTACGGAATTTTTCTGTTGAAGGAGGGACTAAATTTCTCGAGAATATACTGAAAAAGTACTGTAAAAGTACTTATTTTTGACCAGCCTGTTTTAGCAGACACCCTGCATTCAAGGGATGTTCCTGCAAGAAAATTTCACGAATAAACCAATGGATGCATGCTTAAAAATTTTTGTTTCATATTTTCGAAAATAGAAGCTTTCAAAGTCTCCTGATTTTTTCCGATTTCTCCTATTGGCTGGATCCCCTGTGCGGCGGCCGGCGGCTTCGCCAATAATTGCGCTGGCATGGTGTTTCGTTTCCACGCCCGCACCGGCCGCATCGTTTCGTTGCGAGGAAAAATGACGTCGCCGTAAAGAAAGGTCAGCCCCGATTAGATAATGGAAACGGACTGCAAGTGTGAAGCTTCCGACTCTTGCTACAGCCTCGCATCTCCGGGCCTCCTCGTGCATCTCTGTTTATATCACTGGTAGGTAGCGAAGAAATGCTCAGGGTGTCCGCCAACGGTGAAAACTGGAAAATCGCCCATTCATCGGGAAATTCTGAGTGCTTCAAGCGTTTTTCCAACATTCGAGTCGACTCTTTAAATATTTGGGTCTTTAAATAAAACAAGTGTCAATTTATTTGCGGAAAAAATCGGGATTTTTTTTTTTTTTTTTAAATAGGTAGGACCTATATTTCTAGGATAAAAATTGCGTGTTTCTAGGAGCACACTACGTTTGGGTCACAATCCCTGAGTTGTTGGCTGCTCAAAAAGCCGGATGAAACACAAACGCCT